TTACATAAAGGTTTTAGACAGTCTGTATATATTTAAAGTTCAAATTTGTTTGTGCAGGCCTCTGCTATTGATAGTGCCAAGAAAATTATAAAAAAATGGAAGAGAGAGAGAAAGAGAACTTGAATGAAGGAATGAGTTATAAAATATGGCTGTACATAACTGAAACAGTACCTTAAAAACTAGAAGACCAGCATCTACTAAAGGAATAATTATTGCTAGTACTGTAGGTAAGTAGATAACAAGCATGCAATTTGACTTCTTGAAGATACCGGCAGCTGGCCAACTGCTGTCCAGTCTAGAGACCTGTAGGTCGCTATCTAAAGTTTAATGAAGATAAGAATGTATTTTATGAATGAAGAGATGCTGTCATCAAGAGTCAAAATCAGAGAATACAATTGGGAAATATAAAGGTTGGTAAAGAAGAGGAAGATACACATACAACTGCCTCCTTAAGAGTAAACTTGCATCTCTTGCCTTCTATTTATACGTACTTCCTATGTGACTTTAGTCTCATGATTTTAAATATTATGTATATCCTAAAAAAAAGAAAAAAAAGAAAAAACCCTACTATGTATATGCTGGTAACTTCCGAATATACATTTTTAGCTCTGATCTTTTTCTTAAGCTCCAGACTACATATGTTAATTGCCTACTCAATATTTCTACTAGGATTTCTGATAAGTATCTCAAATTTAACATGTCCAAAATAGAATCTCTGATTTCTACTGCCTAAATCTTTCTCATTTGGGTAGATGATAACTGTCTCTAGAATTGCTTGGGCCAGAAAGTTTGGCGTTCATCCTGACGCCTCACTTTCTCTTATATACTGCTTTGAATTCACTAACAAAACTTATTGGCTTTATCTTCAAAATATATCCTGGATCTGATTATTTCTCAACAGCTCCACTGCTACCACTCTGGCCCGAATCTCTTGCTGGAGTATTGCAGCTCCTTCTAACTAGTCTCTCTGCTTCCTTCCTTTTCCTTCCTATGTAACATACCACATAGAAGCCAGAGTTAACATTTAAAAATTTAGGACATGTTATATATAAAAAAAAAGACATGTTATACTTCACATTATGTTTTCCTTCCTCAAAATGGGCTATTTAGAAAAAATGATATTGTTTCTATTACCTTTCCAACCACATCTCCTTTTACCTTGCTGTTTTCCCTTTATACTTCAGCCACATTGACCTCTTTCCTGTTCCTCCAACAGAACAAGCATGCACCTTACTTACCTCAGGGCTTTTCTGTTTGTTGTTCCTGCTGTTTGGAACACAATTCCCTTCACAAGACATGTGCCCTTAATGCCTTCTGAGTTCCACTTTAACTTTACCTTATCAGTGAGGCCTGATTACCCTATATAGAATAGAAGACTCTATCACAGGTCAAGACAGGAAAACCAAAACTCCTCTAGGTATTTCAAATGGAAGGGGGTGGGAGAAAGGAGGATTTAACACAGGGAACTGGTTATGTATTGGTTACCAAAGATCAGTACCTGCAGGAAGTCACCATAATCCCCAGGGCTGCTGGTGGAAAGTGATATTACTTAGAATTATATTCTAAGGAGGTTATATTTCTGGTAATTTCTTCCCACCTTCAAATATGTTAATGCACCCCAATGGCAAAACCTAACTGTACCACAGCTGGAAATATAGCCTGGGAAATAGCATTTTCAGGCTTTCAGCCTTATTGTTTAGGGGAAAGTATAAAAGGGCTAATGTGGGATAATTTTCAACACATAATATTTGGCATATACCTCTTCCAGTACCACTCTTTATCATCTAATCCTTTCTTTTTCTTCATTTCATTTACTATGTATTTTTTTTATTGCATATCAAACCTTCCAATCTCACCCACCAGAATATAAATTTTGTAAGAGTAGGGAATGTGTCTACTTTACATGCTGCTATATCCCCATTAGTCAGAACAGTGCCTGGTATCAGTATAGCAGCCTACTAAGGGGAAAGGATGGTGGGAGTGGTCTGTCTTGGCAGAAAGGAACATTTTATCACTGGTATTGTTTAAAACTGCCAGTGCACGGTGATAATAAAAAGTAGACTGACCTGTAGTCAGTTTTATTATTGGTTTCTAATTTTCTACAGATAATGCATCTGCAGAGTAAAGAATTAATAAAAAATTTATCCATCTCTAAGGATAAAATTGACCTTGTGTTGACTTTATAACTCTTTTCTCCTGAAAAATTGATAAAGATGAAATGTCAGCTTGTTACTAGGCAACATTTCTATGGTAAAAATGATAAAAAAATACCTTGCATATATACTGGAAGGAACTATTATACAAATAAACTATAAATACCTAGTGGGAAACTATAGCATTGGGCTTCTGCAAATGTGGTAACCCTTGTAACTGGGCATTTCTCTAGTGGGGACCCTCAAAGCTGCCTAAGATTGCAAGGATACTAGCTCCTATGTAGGGCATGGAGCCCCTAAGTTGGTGGCTCCCATACTGTTCTAGTGAAATTCTTGTTCCCTCGCACCTGAATGTCATTTGAAGGGCAGAGGAAATGCTCTTGGATGGCTATGTGCACTGCCAAGAAGACTGGTCCCACTGAAGAATGCCTGCTACCGCCTGCTTGATGTTGAGTTTCCTTTCCAATGTCAAAGTACACTGGTTCACAATACAGTGTATTTACATCTTGTAAGTCTGATGGTTAGAAAAGAGAACCCCTGGTGGGAATTCCAGCATTTAATGAATTGTTCAAAGAATATTAACTGAACAAATGCATGACTTTGGAAACATATGCCTAAAATTATATAATCACTGGATAGTATTAACTAAATTTTAACATACACAGTTTGTTGAAATCAACAAGGGTCCACAGAGGCTACACTGTGGTAGTTGTAGTCTATAACTGTACCTCCCAGATTCTGATGTAATTCCCTTATCCTGAACAAGTTCATGTAGTCACAAAATATTGGGCAGGTTTTAATATATATGGAATACACAGACATCTTAAATGGCATTCTTTGGTTTGCCTAAGGCCACTGTTCTGCTCACCAATATACCACACTGAATTCAAGAAGTGGACATATGTGATGCCATACACATCAGGGGAAATCAGAACTGGTACTTAAGAAGAGTTGTGCTATGAATGACTAAACAGATTGCCACACTGATAGACAAGTGTAATTTCTTTTGGCCTCTCTGAAAATAAGTGAATAATATTTTTCTATTGTTTTTTGGCTATTTGAGGATCTCAAACCTTTAGGAGAGATACTATTGCTTTATTTATCTCTTGTACCCCCAGTTTCCAGTATAGTGCCACTCCTAGAGGTACCCAATAAACATTTGTTGAATGAAACTACATGATCATAGAGAACCATAATAACAGCTAATTTTGGATTAGAATAGGGGAGGAATGTTGAGCTATGTTGAACCAGAGATTATAGAATTTATAAGCATTATTTCCTTGGAAAACCACTAATGCAACAGGCCAGAGAAAGTAGAGGAGGGAGGTCATACAGAATCCATCAAAGCCTCTCCAAGGATTATCAAGTCTATGAGAGCCGGAAACTAGGACTACAAATTCTTCCTTAGATTTCATAATGTAAATTTCTTCTCTGTTTTCACCCCATCACCTTTCCCTACCAGCAGTGAGAACCTTGTAAAAGAGTATAAAAGATAGCTTTAAAAATATTGCCAATATACTTTTGGGATAACTGCGAATATTAGTCTAGCTCTACAAAAGCATTAGGAAGAATACAAGAAGTATAGCTGAAACAAAGTTGCCTAATAACTAGTTATTTATGAGTTTGTTCATTTTATTTAGTTTTCTCACTTAGATGTGCAAAACATATAAATAAATCACAAATAAGAGTAGTTCATTTAGTTCAAAATAAATTACTTTCAGATGCTAAACATAGTGTCAGTTGGTCCTAGGGAAATTAAAACCATCACTATGTAATCAACTGAGAAGAATGTTTTGGGTCAATCACTAGTTTTAGGGAATGACTAGTACAAACATACTAGGAAGTAAGCAAATCTTGAATGTTGATTTACCTCTCCATTAGCAAAACAAAATATTTTATTCTTTTTTTGTTCTTTCCAAAAGAACTATAAGGGTATACAGAGAGCCTTGAAAATGTTCATTCCCAAAACACGAAAAGATGAAAAATAATGGTAACAAATGGCTTATTTTCAGAACAAAGTTAAAGTTAGAGAGAGAGAGGAGGAGGAGAAGGAGGTGGAGGAGGAGGAGGGAGAGGAGAAGGAAAAGAGAAAGAAATCCTGTTAATCTTTCTATAAATAGTAAGGTCTAAAGAAATTAATTTTAAAAAATACCAATAGTTTCTGATTCTCATCTTAAGCTTTGAATTTCCAGCAGATTCACTTTTCAATATTCCTAATTTGACATTAGAGTCTCCAAATGAATTTCTGTATAACCCAAGCAGAACAGGAATAGAAAACTTTTCAAGAATTCTCAGAAAAAGACTGACTAAATTCCCCTTCCTAAATCAGGGCTGAGATGACATTTTGACATATTCTAAATAGCATGCCACTAGAGATGCTATCTTTAGAGGGGGAAAAAAAACCCTAATTATCAAACCCTTCCTGGTGATAAAGATCACATGGAATTTTAGCAGGAAGAAGGCTAGCCATGGTATCCCAACTCACTGAATTATTTCCCACACAGAGGTGGCCTATATCTCAGAGGAGTGGGCACAATTCATTGTCCTAATAGACTAAGCACTGAGTTTGCACAGCTGAGTATCTATAGCTATCAGTAGACATTCTTGTACTGTGTGTATGGAAAGGCCATTGGTTATAATATTTCATTTTAACAAGTGAAAGGAATTATTTATATGTAATTTCTAGTTCTTTCTTCTCATCTTCTGTACTTGAACTATCCTGAAGCCAATTTTTATTTCTCTGTCATGGGAATGTGGTAATATCTATAATTCATAATGTTCTATATACAACACAGATGTCAGAAATACTTTTATCTGAAAGTCCCATTCCCCCCACCTTCTTTTTACCTCATTCCCTGTTGACATGACTGCAACCACTGGGAACTTATTAACTTCAACCTCCGTGACACCTACAGTTGCCAGAAGACCAATCTCTGAGGGGCCCATGTGGGTTCCTTTGGCCAACACGCATTCTCCTCTTTTAATGTCATGGCCAATGGGTCTGAAAGTCAAAGCAAAACCATAAGCACAATGAAAAAGAGTAATATTTTCTCAACTCAGAGGGAAACGCTAATGTCAGAGAAGGAGGACTCTCGTGGGGAGAAAAATGGCAAGAGATGAGGCAGGAATAGAATAAGGAAAAGAAGAGATTCTAAAAACTCTATGCTTTTAAAATTAAAAATATTAAATCACACTGAAGACAGAAACAGGATGTGTATCTATTATTGCTAAACAGGAATATGGTACTTCATGTTTGACAATTATTTTACAAATTGCTTTGTACCACATTATTGTCAAAAACACCAAATGCAAATGTTCTTTGATATAAGGAAAGAAATTATACAGCATTAGTGATAAAAAACCTATAGCTTGTTAATTTTGTGGTGAGGAGAATAATATTAATGAGATTACATCCATGGAAATAATTTCCATTTGGGCCCCTTAGGTTGGTCCAGTTATGTGTCTGCATCAGTCCATTCACCTTGGCCTCTTGACATAGGGGTGGGAGAAGTGTAGCTTTCTCACAAGGAGATTTGAGCAAATTAGTATGAATGAAATCAGGGTAAATATATTCCATTGTAAGAAAAATAATGTAAAGTATATGCTCCACTTATGGTAGGGCAGTGGCCTCATCTTTGCTTCTGACTATTTCATTTGCCTTTACCATCTCCATGAAAATGTAGGAAAGGCAGACATGGGGTGTAGAATCCAGAAAATTCACTTTCCTACTTGTTAAAACCCTGAAAGCTAATGGTTAATTGACTGGGCTGTGGGTTTATAATAGCTATGCTCTCCTAAGTTCAAGATCATGTAGGAACGAAAGTCAGCAACACATTCTATATACTATGAACTTACCTGATATCTTGGCCTGGCCGAGCTTGCACCAGAATTCTGACTTCAAGTTCTTCAGTGCCCTATAATAAGAGGAATTCTTGTAATTTCAGACAAAACAATTTAAGAGAATTTCTAGTCAATAAAATTATCTACTCAGATGCTTTTATCATTAGGTCCAGACTATATACAAACATAGAGAAACAGAAAACCATTTGTTAAACCCTTTGAACATTATGAATTTCTATCACGGGTTCCTGCTAAATTAGGTTTGATGCCAAGGAATAAATACAATATTTTCATGCTTTAAAAAATATATACCAATTAAAACACTAAGTCTTATTTTGTAAGTAGCATTCTCAAGGAAAACTAATTATATATATATATATATACACAGGGCAGGGCAAAAATAGGGTTATAGTTGTTCGTATGGAAAATAATACAATAAATAAATAATATGAGAATAAACTGTGTTACACACTCACAAGTATAAACCTACTTTTGCTCCACCCTGTACATGTATTTGGCTACCCTAATAGATGCAGTGAACGTGTAAGGAGATAACCTATCTCTTCTTTCCCAAGAATCATGGGTTCAATACTATACCAAGGTTCCCAAATTATCTGTAGAAATTTCAGTGAAGGACTGATCATTTGCCTGGTAGTAAATTTCTGTGAAGTAATAATGATCATCAGTTTTGTACTGATGGTCTATGAACACCATGGTGACACTGCAACTGCATCTTGTCATCTGGCCAAGTCTGCAGATGCATGTGTTCTGCATTTCAATGCTCTGCTGGCTTCTGTGCGGCGATAAATCTGCTGGGCAATTTTAACAGCAAGCAGTGTGATCTGTATTCTAGGAGTTGAATTTTATAAGCCTGACATGTGGGAAGATGATATAAAAAATCCCCAGGTCAAGAAAAGTGGCTGTCTCTCAGCATAGCCAAATTTTACTATATGCCAGACCAGGAGAATATTGTTAACTCCAGCTTTTAAAATATGAAATATCTTAAACTTCTTCACAAAGCAATTAAGATAGCCAGTCATTAAAACCTCAGTTGAACTATTGTTTTTTATTGGTGGCTGATCTTCTGGTTTCAATAACTGCCACCAGTTTCAGTGAAATGAAGGCCTACTTAGACCAAAAATGGTCCCCACGTCCTTCACTCCAGGCAACAGAGGGAGAACTGGCATGAATTTAGTATTTCCAGGCTGTCATTTGGCGGCACACACTTCCCTGAAGTATAGATACCAGAGCTGAGTGCCACTTGGTTCAAATGTTTGGCTTAGTGAAATGTTCAAGAACTTGCCCAAGTGTTCTTTGTTAAATTCTTCCTATTAAATTCTCCTTCACATTTTATCAGAAGGTAGTTTCAATTAAAAAATTTCTCAGCTAGAAGGTATGCCAACAATTAGTACCTCTGCTTTTCTATCTTGGGCCAGTTTCTTTCCTTGTTTGCACGTGAAATTTCTTGGAACAAATGTGGTTCAAAGTCTGGTATAATCACAGTGATGATCATAAAAACATCTATAACAAAAGATTTTGAAGCCTAAGGCAATTCCTTATTTAGTGGAGACCCATACACTACATTGTAAAATCCTCACATAACCCAAAACACTGGGTTGATCTCATACACATTGCAGAAAATGGGCATGACTTAAAATACTGCTGCAGGAATGCAGCGATAAGACCTGGTGATGACGTACATCATCGGACTCCCTGATAAGTTCAGTATCTTCTACTTGTACGACTGCATCAGCACCGCAGGGGATGGGAGCACCTGTTGTAACCCGCATGACTTGTCCAGGCATTACTGTCTGAGTTGGCTGGAAATACAAACACGTAAGAAAGAGCTGATTTGCTTTACTGCTGCAAAGGAAAAGTAACATTTTCCTACATGAGATGTAACATTTTAAGAAACAAACCATAAAAGGAAAGTCTTACAGTCTTATTCATTTTGGGCCAACGTAATGAAAACTACCCACAAACAGGTATACTCACACCGAGGCTTTAACTTGATTTATGGTAATGACCATTATATAGATATCTTTCTTGGTGCTCTGTTTTCCCTTTTGAAGAACTGCCACTTAAATTTGCCACTACTGTCTGTCACTCAAATAATGTGGTTTTTCTTAATATGTGTAAAGTGACTTGAGAATCAAGGAAAAAAATGCCATGCAATGTGCTTTTTGTGAATGACAATTATGAAGAACCAGCACATTAGTCATTGTCTGAAGTTCTGATATTTGAGAAATGTAATTTATAACTAAGCTTTTTGGTTAAATATAGGCAAGTCAGAAAAATCAAATTATCGCTCTTGAAAATCTTCCTGAAACATATTAGCTCACAGTTTTCACTGTCTGATGGTATAGGAGACTGGCCACAGGGCCTGCCCAGCAAACTTACCCTGTCACAGGGAAAAGCATATTTCTGTAAGATCCATCTAACAGGTCTAATCAGGCCTCAGAACAGTGGCCTAAAACATGGCCAATGACATGTTTTAGGTCAGAACTGGGGAAAAAATGATTCAGATTTTTCCTAAAATAAAACTCTTTGAGATAACATTAATTCCCCAATAAAAATATATTCCAAAGATCTGCTTCATAAGTATTTGTTTAAAATTTTAGGTCACAATAATGTGAATATATTTAACACTACTGTACATTTAAAAATGATGAAGATGGTATCTTTTAAGTTATGACTTTTAACAGATTAAAATAATTTTTAGGAAATAGCTAAGGAAATATACCTCTCCACTGGATATACAACTGAAGTAAAAGTGGACATTTATTAAAACAGCCTTAAAAAGTTGCTTTCAATATTATCACTACAAACAATACCACCAATGATATTATTGAACCCTCACTCTGTGCTAGGTATAGTGTTAAGTGCAATATTACATTCTGTTTATATAACAACCATGACCTGAAAAAAGGCAGGAATTTGTTTTATTTTCTGTTTGCCTCTCCAGATCACATCATTGTACTATCCTGGGCTAAGGCCTGAAAGGCTGACCTCTATGAACTATTTCAGGTTCCCATCACTGGCTTCTGGTTGGGTAAAGCCAATGCAAGAGGCCAAAAAGAGATTAGAGGGGAGAAGAAAGAGAAAAGTCGAGTTTATATTCCCTTTGTTCTTTCCCTGCTGGGCTGCAGTTCGGTGAAGGCTACATCTCACATCTACTACTGAGGGGTGGCCCTGTCCCATACCTATGAATCTCCATGGGTCCAGGTAACACTCTTTCCCTTTGCTCCTTCAGACAAGAGGTGGTAATGGAGTTTCACTCTTAGCTCCCGAGTGCTTCACATTCCTTTGTTAGTTTCCCTTAACCCTGTCTGCATCTTGGATATAGTCCCTGCATCAATCTTCATAATCACCCCTCTCCAGGCATATTTATTGCTCTATCATTCCAAAGCCTAGAAGGTACCTGGCACAAAGTTGGTAGTCAATAAATATTTCTGAAATGAATAAATGAACATGAATAATCTCATTATCACAACTGCCTGAAGTATGCGGTCCTTTGTGGTTTACATCTCCAGTGTTGTCCCCACTTTTCTCCCACAGTCAGTGGAGAAGGGGATTCTTGGGATTGAACTGTGTATCCTCTTATTCTGTTTTCTGAAGAAAAGACATTCCAGGCTTATTCAGAATTGTTGTATTTTAATGAAATCTTTTACCAAGGTAATGCACAGGATTTAAAATGAAAAGTTTAGGGCCCAATACCTTCAAATTTCTTCTTTAATTTTCAACACCAGATACTACTACTACTACTACTACTACCACCACAACCACCACCTATTGTCTGGTGCATCTCTTAATACACTGTATATGACCATTTTTGTAGTATCGTGACCTCTGATGAAAAGCACTGAAGATTTGATATGATATATGTGTTTTTTCGTAGAGATGTTAATGCCAAAATAGTCTTCTGAGACTGTGGAAAAAAGACATTTAATATAGGCCTAACATGGTCCTTCCTTTGCTGAAAGTGCTTTTTTGGCTAAGGCAAAAAGTAAATCCTAAAGTGAGTTTCAGGGTAGTTGCTTCTTAAGCTGAAGTGTGTTAGCATGAGGACTTACCTTAATTTAGTTGGGTTCAATGTACCACATACTGTAAATATACTTTAAGGTTTACTGTGGTTATATGTGTATTTTTTCTACTTCTTAGTTAAATCAATGCTTAAGAAATGTTTTTGTGTGATTATTAAATAAAAAATTTGGCACCTCTCCAAGACTAGTTTAAATGGTAGATGAAAGATTACTACCAGCTCACTTATATTAAATCCAATGTAAAAAGATATTATTGGATATGTAAAGACACTTATATATCCACATAGAGTAGATATATAAACTACACTTGAATCAATGGAAAAACTTGAGCAATATGTGAAGTACTTCTTTTAGATTATTAAGACTAGTAACTAATGCTTCTTTAGTTTTATTGATATACCTATATACTTTATATTAAAAAAGTTTAAATCTTGATTTTTCTTTAATGGCTATATTAAACTGGAGTTTTTGTGCTTTGTCCAATGACAGCATTGTATAATTAAATAATATATTTTTAAGGTGTTCAGTCTAATCAATAAGACCAAACCACAAGCTGTTTAAGACCAATTATTTTGGTACAGCAAGAAACCAATTTGTAAATCACTGTCTCAGTGTCTGCAATAGCACCTCAATGCTCATGTGTATGCACTTTCAATAAGTGAGCAATGTGGCTCATCTGTATGATATGTAAGTTAAAAGGACATCATGGGCAATTAAAAAAAAACAAACCCACTTTTTGGGTATAATTTTGATATTTTTTCCCACCAAACTTTTATAACTTACAAGAAGTTGACAACTTTTAAGTTTCACAACTTTTCTTGAGCTCCTAGTTCTCAAGAACAATAAATAAACTAGCAAATAAAGTTTATGAAGTCCACAAAGCCTGTAACAATGTGCTGCTGCCTATCTGTATATATTCTGGATATACACACTATTTGCAGTTCCCTAAGCATTCCACATAATTTTAAAAACACTTCTGGAATGTAGTTCTACTCAGAATATTGATGTTCATACATGAACAAAGAATCATCCAATCACAGGGCTGGAAAATGTTTGATGGCATGTCTGTGAGACATATGAACTACACAATGCCAGATATCAACAGATGAAGATTCTTTCAGTTAAGGAAGAATTGGTTCTTCTAATGGGAACTGTCCCTTAATCTCTTTGATAGCCTGTCTAATGATTCTCTAAGATTTCCCTTACAATGATGGTAGAAATTAGAATTAGATACTGAAAGTCCACGAAACTGAAATCTTTAGGACCTGTCAGGCCTATGAACCTCACCTGCTCACCAGCTTGGGATTCCCCAATGATGAAACGATCTCCTGGGCCATCAGCAGCTGTGAGATGAACAGAACCAAGAACAAACATCAGAATGGACCTACAGCAAGGAATAAAAACCTAGTGTTGGAATTCTAAAATTTGACTCAAATGATCATATAAGGATTCAGGAAAATGGAATACATTTCTGATCTCCTAGACTAGATAATGGCTTTGTTACTCCTGGTTTGATCTTTGGTATCCAAAACTCACAAGTACCCACAGAAGTATTCCTAATTTGTGCTCTTTCTCGGTGTCACTTGAGATGGTTAGTCCTCCTGTTGTTTGATAATTTACACATGTACTTTTAAAGTAGGAAGTTCTTTTTGCCTACCCTCTTAAAATACCATCTTCTCCACATTCATGGATATCACTATATGTATCAATATTTCTCCATTTTCTATATAATTTTTACAGTATTCCATAATAGTTTCTTATTTACCACCCACTTGATCTTCATAATAACCCAGTAAAATAGGAGAACCATACATTCTTTTCTTCATTTGACATTTGAAGGACATGAATCACAGAATGAAGGAACTCAGGGAGAAAAGGTTAAGTACATCGAACAAGCTCTGGTTAGTGGTAGGGCTATGACTAAAATCCAGCCCTTAATTCCCAGTACAGTATGTATGTATGTGTGTATATGTATTAATGGGTCAAAATGTTATTTCTGAATCAGAATGCACAGGCAGCGCTGCATCACATTTTCCATTGCATTTAAATGGGAAGAAACCCTTTCACAATTAAGATGGAACCCCCCCCCAAAAAAACTTCTTATCCATTGTTTTTCTACATACAATATAGTAATGACTGGATACAAATATTCCAAGAGATAAATGCATTCCAAGGGGTTTCTTCACAGATGATATAGATTTCAGACCAATAGTACTGAAAAGGCAATGCTTCTCTAATGAATTTTAAGATAAGGACAATTACTTCTGTGTTATCTGCATACAGCAAGGGTTTGAGACACATACACAGAAAAGATAACACTTTCTCTGTAACTATTTTAATTATATTTGCAATCATGCTGATAAGTAATAAAAAGTATTTTTCCTTTTTTTAAAAGGGACATATGAAATTCATTATTTCTCTATGTGACTACAATGTCGAATTTTTACTAAAGGCTTATAAACAATACTGTTTACAATGAGCCGTTCTTGCACAGATGGCTTTGGTTAACCAATTGTGGAAAGAGGCACAAGAATTAACGGTGGGTATCTTCTATGTACAAGATGTTGGATCTTGTGCCCAATAGACATTATCTCAGTTAATAAACTTTTGGTTTTTGTGTGTGTGTGTGTGTGTGTTTTTAAATTATTATTGTATTTTCAGTGTTCACTTGTAAAAAAGAGAATAGTATTCCAGCATAGCTATTCTTATTATGCTGTTTTCATGGGTTCTTCTTTGTTAAAAGCTTTTTTTAAGTGAACAATTTTAAACAAACATAGAAGTCATTGCTTCAACATTTTACCAATTAACATTTTACCAATCTTGTTTCATCTATTCCCCAACTTATTTTTGTAGTATTTTAAAGCAAATTGTGATTTTCTTACTGTAGATGACAAGAAGCCAGTTATCTTTCAGAGGTCTGCACTAAATGCATCTCAAATGTGAAAAATTTATTTCAAATTATTTTTCTACTAAAGGTATTACCAGCTCGCCATCTCTCAGCAGCAACCTAGACATTTTCTCTTTTTACTTCTTTGCAAGAAGGGAAATTAGCTGGTTTTAGAGTAAAACAAAGCTGAATCCGAATCTTATTAATCCTCTTGGCTCTGCCTCTTATTAGCCTCAGGGCTTTTAGCAAATTGCTAAACTTTTCTCTAGCCTTCAGTTTTCTTGTTGATAAAAATGGGGATAATCATTCTTTAAAAATACTAACGTCTGTTAAAGCTTTTCATTCCTTTCACTCATTCACTAAATTTCTACCATCTTCTATGCCCCAGTGTCACACAGGTGCTGGGATAGAGTCAAGAGTAAAACCAGACACTGTTTCTGTTCACAAGAGAAGGTGAGCTCTAAAATCAACTTGTAAACAATTTTTTTAAATGAGAAAGAATAGAAAATATATTTCATCACATAGTAAGGATAAATACTGTTTCATGAAATTTATTTTTATTTACATGTGTGCATATGTATATTTGTATGCATTGTATAATTATACGTGTGTGTATATCATTGGCATGTACTGTATACTTTAATGTGTGTCTTCCTATGAGTGTGGTTAAAATAAAACTCTTAAAGCCACTGATATAATCGGGTAGACAGTTACTAATTAATCATATTAATGAATATATAAACACAAATTAAGAAAACCACTCTAAAGGAACATGGTTTTATGAGAGCATACAATGAAAGTACCCACACTACACTGGTGGGTCAAGGAAGCCACCCTGATACACCGAGTTTTGATTTGAATATGAAGGATGAATAAGGCTAAGTAGGCAAAAGGTAGGGATGTGTGTGTGTGTGGGGGGGGGGAGAGATGCCTATGAAGTACAAAATGCTCTATCTGAAGATCGTCCCCTAAGGCAGCAGTATGAGTAAAGGCCTCTGGTTCATATCCTCCTTATATGTTACATTGTCACCACTCTCAACCTCTAGCACTGTAGCTCCCTGAGATGACTCATATTTCAGCTCCATAACATGAGCTCCTCTCATTGCTTGGAATGTTCTTTCTTTATTCTTGTCTTTGATGAAAAATTCTCAGCTTTTAAGACTCACTTCAAATATTATTTTTTATGATGTCATATCGGATTCCCTTTCCTTAAGAGTCACATACTTCCTTTTTTGTTTCTTTAGTTTATTCCTCAAATAACTCTATGGTTTCTGAATATATTATAATTATTTGCTTATTTTTTCTCAGGGGAATCCCTAGCGCTTGCTGTAAAATAGGAATTCTATACATGTTCAATATGTGAAGTATTCAAAATGTCGAATAAATAAATGAGTGTGGCTTCTAAGAATCTTTTTAGAAAGATGCATGCATGAATAAACAAATATACAATATTTTTCAACACAAAATGCTGTATTTTGAATGCCTTTCATTTTCTGCTAGGTATACTGTTTTCTAAATGTGTGTCAACATTCACTCTCTTTAGAATGTTTAGAAAGACTGCTCTGGTTAATTCTATATAACTTAGATTATGTTGCCAGTTACTGAGTCAAGCATAGTGTCTAGTTCATCATTAATACTCAATAAATATTATTAAAAGAATGAAGACATGAATCTGGCATTTTCATTATACTTAGGTGGGAAGTTTGTAAATTGATTGTATGGGTTACTACTGTGTTTTATAAATCTTTTAAAAATGCTTTCATAAATGTATATTTTCTCTCTTATGAGCTCTGTAGAAATAGTGATCATTTCCTTTATTTCTTTTTTGAAACCCTCTTCTCTTCAATCTTCCTCCTGTCTCCTGTAGCCACACACATGCAAATGCACATACACTCGAAATGTTTACAGCAATGTTCTGCACAAATATTCTAAATACATGTCACTGAATAATGAGTGCTGGAGATCATCTGGGGCAAGCCTGGTAGAGTTCAGGGAGGCCAATACCTGAAAGAGCCCTTAAATGATTCTAAGCAGTAGGATTAGGGAAGGTGCGCTAACTGGGGAGAGAATATGTGCTCACTTAAACTATGTTCTCCACCTTGTCCTGGGAAACAGGCCTCTATACTGAAGGCTCAGTCAACCAACATTATAGAAGGCTCTTGGAACCAAGAGAGGAGTCAGCTTTTTTAAAAAATATTATTTCCCTCACAATAGTGTTTCTCAGCCCTTAATGTGCACATGAATCACCTGGTGATCTTGTTAAAATCTTGTTAAAAGATTTTGATTCAGTGGGTCTGTGATAGGGCCTGAGGTTCTATACTTCTAACAGGCTGATGCTGATACTGCTCATTTGTGAACTACTCTTTGAGGAGCAGAGAAGACTGCACTGGAAATAGACAAATTCAGACTAAGAGAAAACTTTAAAGAATAAAAAAATCAGTGAACAACTGAAGTCCTGATTTTACATTAACATCAAGATTCACTATTTCTTATAGGACAGAAAAATAATAATGACCAATCTGACATATATTTAAAAATATCTATTAAAGACAGAAGCAAAAGAGAAGTTGCTATTTTCAAGATGAATTTTACAAGCTTGGGTGTGAGGGAGCTGAGGTGGAGGAACAGTGGTACTATGAACCTAAAGCTTGAAATAAAATTAAGCCACAGTATGCCATTAGAAAAGATGGATGGATTCTGGGAATTTCTGTAAAGGCTTAGTATTTTCCAGTCCACCTCCCACCACACCAACTCTGACATTTCTGTTAATAAGTTTTCTCTTTCTGTTTTGTAATAGTAGAATTTAATTTGAAGGAGTGGTAAAGCAATACAAACAAAATCCTAACAACAAATGCATTATACAAGTAATTTATAATGCTTAATACTAGATCCTGAAGCTGTTCCCATGTCCACCCTTTTGTTAATGTCCAGAAAACAATTTTAAGTAGTCTTGTTTATCTGTTTATTTAAAGATTTGTGATATCATTTGATATAAAATTAATTCCATTAGGTAGATCTTCACTGTGGCAATGCATAGAAGATAATCTTCCCAAGCCATTTGCTATAAATTTATTACTCATTTTCATTTTCCAGCCATATGTGAGCTCTCTTTAAGCCTCAAGAAATGCTTTACAGATATTCATTTCTTTTTAATAATAAAGAGTCTCATCATTTCCATGTTAGGGCTGAATAAAGTGAGACTATAGAGATAGCAGAGATCCTAGGAAATATCTTCAACAGAGGGAAAAGGCAGAGGGATTAAGAATTTGTTTATTGTGCCCTGGCTGGTGTGGCTCAGTGGATTGAGCACTGGCCTGTGAACCAAAGGGCCATGGGTTAGATTCCCAGTCAGGGCACATGCCTGGATTAAGGGCAAAGTCCCCAGTAGGGGCCATGTGAGAGGCAACCACACATTGATGTATCTCTCCCTCTCTCTTCCCCTCTTTAAAAATAAATAAATAAAATCTTAAAAAAAAAGAATTTGTTTACTTTGATAATGGAACCAAACTATCTAAGGCCAGGACAATAGGCAGTAATAGGGTAATAGTATTTATGAGTATACTAAAATTAAGATTATAGGAAGAACTGGGGTGGGGAAAGGGAAGGTGACAAGAGTAGCACAAAACAATTAATACTTGCTGCAATTGTACTGAGGGATCAAATCAGGTGAGTTGTTTAGAATTTTAAATCTGTTGCCTTTTCTTATGGAAAGCAGGGAGCTAGGAGAAAAATGTTCATTTATTCTTAGTATTGGGAAAAGAGATATTGTTTCCTTAAATAGAGTATTAATTAAAATTAATTATTCCAAATTATATCTCTGCCCACATGAGAAATACTTCCATGTCACAAGGCCTCTTCCTCATCCAGAGCGTCCTGTTGTGGAACTTAATAGGCTGTCAAATGAGTTGGGAGAAGCAGCTGTGGCCAGAGAGGTTTAGAATGGCCAAAATGGAAACCCTGGAACATGAATTTCATGAAGAACTAAGAACTAGCTTTAAATCAAAAAGGTTACACTGATAAATAAATAAATGGGAAAAAAAGGTCATACTGAATTAATCTAGTGGGAAGAGGTACAACAAAATGTTAATAGTGGCTAGGAAATAAGATAATGGGTGATTTTAAATGTTCTTTTTCATTTTCTGTGTTTTCCATAAGCATATACTTCAATCAGAAAAAAAGAGAAAAACTTTAAAATTTACTTTAACCAAATGGCAAGGATTTCTCTTAATACATCCTTCCAGAATTGTTTGTAACATGTAGTTATCAAAATAATTGCTGACTTGTTATAATTTTCCCTTCTAAATGATCCCAAAACAATTTCTGAAGGGATAAGCCTTTCAAATTGAACATTTCAAGAAAGCTGAATCTGGAATTCTGAGATATTTTTGCCTTTATTAATGTGTAAGAAGAAATTGTGTAAGAAAGTTGTCTGGTTTCATTTTTTTGCATGTATCTAATTTTCCCAGGACCATTTATTGAATAAACTGTCTTTACCCCATTGTATGTTCTTGCCTCCTTTGTTAAATATTAATTGTTCATACAGACATGGGTTCATTTCTGGGCTCTCTATTCTGTTCCCTAGATCTATATGTCTGTTTTTATGCTGGAACCATGTTGTTTTGATTACTATGGCCTCGTGGTATAGTTTGTTATCAGGTAGCATGGTATCTCCACCTTTGTTCTTTTTTTCTCAATACTGCTGAGATTGTTTGAAATTTTTTGTGGTTACATATAAATTTTTGGAATACATGTTCTAGTTCTGTGAAATATGCCTTTGGTTTTTTTTTTTAATGCAACAGGATGGGCGGACCTAGAGGGTATTATGCTTAATGACGTAAGTCACTAGCATAGTAACCTAGAGAGTAATCTAAAGAACAAACAAAAACAGAGAGTAATCTAAAGAACAAAAAACAAAATTGAAACAGACTCATATACACAAAGAGTGGCCTGGTGGTTGCCAGAGCGGGGGGGGGGGGGGGGGCGGGGAGTTTGGGAGAAAGAGGTGAAGTACAAATTGGTAGTTACAAAATAGTTATGGGATATAAAGTAAAGCATATGGAATATAGTCAATAACACTGCAGTAATTATGTATGAGTCCAGTGGGGTACTAAAAATATCAAGGGAAACACTATGTAAAGTATATGATTGTCTAATCACTTAGCTGTAAACTTAAAATCAATACATAATAATATTGAAGTAAACTGTAATTAAAACATTAAAAAAAGAAATTGTAAGATAATGGGAATCTGTCCACATCTCCACAGGAGGGTGTGAATGCATCAAGATGACTGGCTTAATGAGTGTGAAGGAAGAAATAACTTAAAAATATGAATAAAAATATTGTATTTTAATGGATTCTAATTGATAATATGCTTTCATTTTCTTTTATCTTTCAAACGTACTCCCTGCTGAATGCAGTTTTAGGTTCATTAGGTCACAGCTCTTCCTATTATTTAAATCCTCATTACTTGATTCCTGACTTCTATACATTCTATTCTATCTTAATTTTTTTAAAGCTGTTCCTATTTCTTATTTACCTAGTCATTTTTTTTTTACTGTCTTGATTTTTCAACCCACATACCTTAAAGCAAGTGATCCTCCAACTGGTTTGGAGTTTTATGCCACATATTTCTGAAGGATACTGGCTAATGCTTAGTGATCCAGAGCAAGTTAGCAACCTCTTTACACCTAGAGGGTTAGCAATGCTCACAGGTGCCACTGGTTATTACTGGAAGGCCTAAGGCAAAGGCAGAGGAGAAGAAAAAAGGGAGAATAAAGGGAGTGGGGAGAAAGGGACGACAGTAAAGGAAGACAGGGGTGGAGAGAAGAAGGTACACAAGTAGAGTGGTAGAGAACCACAACAATAGCCTCAAGGATATTCTTACCAAAACACTGCCTGGCGGTGGTATTATAACGCAGGGAAGAATAAGACCTTTTCTTATAAGTGCCTTTTTGTTCATGGATTTGCTGCTTTAATTAAGATGTTGATATATATACACAGATACACCAACCATTCCCAATTTGAGATTTAACTATATCTACAATGCCATCTGTTATGTATTATGTCTCTGCTGTATGTTCTATATATTAGAGAACTATCAAGACTTCACAGGAAATAAATCATATGAATTGGATACATGATATGTAACCTGTTGAAACTTTTATACTGTGAGATATGTCATTTTAGATGTTTTTCTCTGTGTCAAACAAAACTAAAACACTACCACTTCAAAATAAAAGAATAAATAAGACACTGAGTTATAACTTTACATAAAAATTTCCTTGATAGATTCTATAGCAGAAGGCTCTTTTATGGCTCAGGGAGGATAACTGGTTTTCTTGGCAACAAGAAAAGCCAAGAGCAATAGTTTCTTTTTATTGAGCTGCTGGTACCTCATGAACAAATCACAGAACAACATTCTATTTGAGGATAGTTTTGCCTCAATTTATTTTCTTACTTTCTCCTACTGTAGGTTACAAAGGATGTAAAAGAGTTTTTTGCCCCTTTGTTATTTCATTTGTTGTAGCTGTTTGTCCTATTCTGGAAGTAAGAATTTTTTTGTGTGTGATTTCATTGCAATACTTTATGGCTACCAATTATAAGTTCAAAATAGAATTTATATTTTGGATTAGGAATAAGAAACAAAAAGATCCAATGAGGCTATCAGGAGATTAAAATAATTTTATTTCTGGACAATATGCATTATATAATACATACTATAGAAGGACTACATTTGGAAAAAACTACATTTGTTAGGGATTTGTTATTTATGTTTCCAGAAATACTCTAATTTAGTGAGATCAAGCTGAACGAGATGCATCCAAGACAGTGTTCCTGAGAAAGCAAATACTAATAGGAATTAATCTCTTCACCATTTTATTTACATAGAATATGAGATTAACAATTTAGATAAATGTTATACTTTTTTCAGATATGGTGTACTATGTTTATCATAATAACAATAGTGATAATCATAGTTACTATTATTAAACATTTTAAAAAACAATTATGGAGGTTTTATTTTTGTGGTGCCAGGAACTTTACTAAGCCTTTTTATAGTCTCATTTAATCCTCACAACCACCTATTGGGGTAAGTACTGTTACAATTATCACCATTTTACAGATGAGAAACTGAGGCTCAAAAAGTTTAGGTAATTTGCTCAAAGTTATCATGATGGAACTGGTACTAAAACTCAGATCACTCTTATGTCCCTCAAACCCCATACCCTTAACCACTCACTATACTGCCTCCACCGTAGAAAGATACTGGTAAGAGATGGCGATGGAACATGGAAATTAATGGATGTATTTAATTTCAAAAGAGAGAAAATTATTTCAATAGCTTCATAGAATTAAAAGAAAATAATGACAAAAAACCAGGTAAGAGACTTCATAAATGATTATTACAAAGGAATTGGTCTTAATAGCTTTGATAAGTTAGGAAATGTTTTTAGACATTTCTTCAATGACATCAACCTTGAGCTAATAAACAACAATAGTTTCTAAGCAATTCAGCTGAATTTTGGGTTCTTAGATGGGACTTTAGGCAGGAAAATGCTATTTCATATGTGCTTTTAGGCTTTATGTAATCTGGGGCAACTCTGAAGGTGTGAGCTGCTGGTACCATCTGGGCCTTAAGAGATTTGGAAATGGCATCTTTCAAAGAATTAGAGGTTTCCCTTATGCTTGCTTTTCATAAAGCCTTTACTGATGTTTGAGTTTAAAGCAAGAAAAAAGACCACCCACTTTATTCTTATGTTGAGAATCGGCTCTTCTTTCCTGTACCATATAGATGTTTTCAAGTGGAAAACATATGGCAAACTTCCAGATCAAGCGAGACTGTCTACTGTCTGTCTGGAATGTGTAGAGGTTGAAATAAATTATAGTATAATGTTCTTTAAACCAATCTCTACATATATCTGTAAATAAGAATTTTCAAGCAACTATGGTAATTTCACCATAGGTTTTAAACAAGATTGTGTCAGAAAATATCTAGGTATAGGTTAATTTTGTTATCTGTGAATAAAATCATTTTGATAACAAGGGGGAAACAGATTTAACAGTTGTTGGGTGCTTAGGCTGAGCCAAACATCTGGGAAAAAAAAAAGTACAGTGTGAGTTATGATGATACTCAAGAAAGCCAAAATATTTACCTCGAACAGCATAGCCATCCTTTACTGATGCTGGGAAGGGGGGTAGGTTATCTTTTGCATATATATCTTGAGCAAGGACTCGGCCCATTCCATCTGAAAGAAGAGAAAAGAAGCAAAACATGGATGTTGAGAGTAACGGTTAAACAGACGATCACAGAAAAGTTAAGCATGTGTGCTTGTCTGGCAAGGCTCGTCTACATGCTCAGTCAGTCCTCCTAGTATCTGTCCCACAGAACAGGAGAAGGAAGAGATGCATCCTAGTGTCTGCAATGAAAGACTAGATTCAGTCAATTAACAGTAATGCCTGCAGAGATGACCTGAACATGAGTAGCTGCAAAGTCATCAGAGATGTGTTCAAGTTGACATGTCATTGATTCTTTGACAACCCAAAGATGACTTTAAAAAGCCAACTGTTAAACATTTTCATACCCATTAACCTGGTAATTTCACCTGTAGAAATATATCATAATAAAATGACTAAATCTTTTTTTCCAAAAGACTTATTTATTTTTAGACAGAGTGGAAGGGAGGGGGAAAGAGAGAGAAACATCAATGTTTGGTTGCCTCTCACATACTCCCTACTTGTGACCTGGCCCACAACTCAGGCATGTGACCTGACTGGAAATTGAACCTGTGACCATTTGGTTCTCAGGCTGTCACTACATCCACTGAGCCATATCAGTCAGGGCAAAATGACTAAATCTTTATGCACATGTTTATCTCAGAGTTGCTTACATTAGTGAGAAATGGGAAGAAGTCAAAAGACTAATAATATAGACAATGATCTATCCTTATGACAGATAAAATATTATACAGGCTAAATTAATATTTATGAAGAATATTAACTGACACAGGAAAATTCTTATATAGTTAAAAACATGCAGAATTGCACATTTAGTTAAGATACATGCATATATCAATAGAAAAAGATAGAGAGGGGACACATGAAATATAAAGCATTATTTCAGTATGCTAGAATTCTGTACAATTTTTATTCCCTTTGCTATATACTTTTCTGAAAATTTCCATATTTTCTAAAATAATCACATCATTTTTCTGAAGTATTTTTCCTTATGAAGAGATAAGTAAAGAAAAGAACTTCCTTATCATTCCATTTGAATTTTTGCCTTGATTTTGGCTTTACTAACCTAAAAAAATGAGCGACTATAAGGAAAGGGCAGTAACCTACAGTGTGAAGTGACTATTCAAAACACTCAGGATGACAATTATTTTTGGCTAGACCTCAGGAATTTGAAGTAGTGCCAACAAGAATAAAAGTTTCAAGAGTCATGACCCATTCTTACATCCTCTAGTCAGAATCTTCATTATTGTTATTTTATAGAAGTAAAAGAATAGTAAATAGGAGGTGGAGGAAGAAGGTGAGGAAAATAGCCCCAAATTTCTCTGCAAAGACTATAAGTAATTCAGGACTTGATTTATATGAGATGTTTGTATAATTTGGAAAATTTCATTGTTTCCATAGCTAGATGGGTGAGTTTTTGTGTTTGTTTGCTGTTTGTTTGTGGCTTTGTTCTTTATAGCCACCTAGGACCCCTGGTTTCAAGATCCAGAACCAAGATGTAACAATGGAGAGATGTTAAATATTCTACTCTGATCCACAGCAACAGTGATGTTGACTCTTTCATTTTAGGGAAGTGACATCTGAATTGGAAGTGAGAACTTCTTGGCAGATTTATAGCTTCACATACTCCTAGGAGGCTGAGGATGTTTTGGATCTATACTGGAGCCATGGACCATGCTCTGTAAGATCAGGGAAGTGGTGGGACCAGAGTGTTGGGTTTGCATTCACATACACATTAACTCCCAAAGGAACCTAGAGCTATAAGGTAGTCTCTGGTAATAAACCCCATAGCATTTGCCTAGGATTATAATAAAACTCCTGGGAGACTCCTTATTGGGAGATAATCTGGCCAGGGTAGAAAATAAAAATGTGAGCTGTATACCAGCTCAGATCCCAAGAGAATGGCTTTGCTGGAAATTTAAATAGCTTAAAGTAATTATCAAAGATAGCACAAAGGCTGAGTTTTTCTGTAATCTGGTCCAGTTAATGTAGTAAATGTATATATAGCATCTTATAAATTATTAAATAATATCACATACATTACTTAACTCTCACAAAAATCTAGTAAACCATTATTATTTTCATTTTACAGATAAATAAAGAGAAGTTTAAATAGGGTATCACTAACCCATGGCCATATATTTCATAGGTGGCTAAAGTAGAATTGAAGTTTAAATCATAGAACTCCAATCTTTATTACAATGGCCAACAGCTACAATTCATGTTCCCTCTACCTGTTGTTCTTCCTCTATTTCTCTGACATGAAAAAAATTTACAAGGTGATTCTTCAAAAAATTAATGTAGAATTACCATATGATCCAGCAATCTGACATCTAGGTGTATATCCAAAAGAACGGAGAGCAGAGACTTGAACAGATATTTGTACACCCATGTTCACAGTGATGCCAGGTTGCACCTGGGGAGGCCAAGGGAGGCCTCGACCTAAACCAGCCTCTTGTCACAGTCCAAGAAGGAATTTAAGAGCATGATAGATTTAGCAAAGCATAGCACATTTATTAAAGTGATAGTATGCATTTGAGAAGTGAGAATGGGCGACCTTGAAGAATGAACTGCTCTGATGGGTTCTGGGGGGAAGGTTCTTATTGAAGGCAGGCAAGGGGTGGGGGAATAAGGTGGTCCTTGGATTCTGGTGCTAGGGGGGTAACTGCTGAACATGGTTCATCCTAGTCCCTTCTCTCCAGATAGCAACTTCTTTCTTTCTTTTGTCTTCTCAGTTACAGGAAATGGGGGAGGGAGAAATGGGGAAATAGGTGGTCAGTGAAGGTCATGACTGTGATATTCAAGCAAAGACAGAAAAAGGGAGGGGTAGAGCTAGAAGCCAGTGTTTCATATTCTAACTTTCCTGTCTCAATAGCAGCATTATTCACAATAGTCAAAAGTTGGAAGCAACCCAATTATTTATTAATGGATGAATGAATAAATAAAATGTGATCTATACAAACAGGAATACGAAGTCTGTCCAGACGGCACCCAGCCAAGGAATATGAAAGACAGACTTCCAGTCAAGATGGAGGCATAGGTAAACATGCTTCGCCTCCTCACACAACTACAGCAAAAATAACAACTAACTATAGAACAAATATCACCCAGATTTGTCAGAAAATTGAGCTGTGTGGAAGTCCAACAACCAAGGAATTAAAGAAGTCACATTCATCCTGATGGGAAGGAGGGGTGGAGGTGCAGAGATGTGCAGAAAGGTGCAAAGTGGCGGAGAGGCAGGGAGAGGTGCAGAGACAGAGGGGTGCAGAGAGGCATGGAAATGTGGAACAGGTGGTTCCACATCCATGTGTGGTGGATAAAAACTAGGAGGGATACATTGGGGGCAAGGTAACCAGCCCCAGACCAGACGGCCCAGCCCAGGGTTCCAGTGCCAGGAAGTTAAGTCCCCATCACTTCTGGCTGTGAAAACCAGTGGGGGTTAGGGTGGCAGAAGAAACTTCAGGATTCTCAGGAGACTCCTCTTAAAGGGCCTGCGATGAACTTTGAACTTAAGAAGACCCACTCCCTCTGGGATTAGGCACCAGGGCAACAGCTGGAAGGGCACCAGTGGCATAGGGGGAGAGGTTGGAGTGACTGGCAGCAGAGTGAGTGTAGGGGGACAGCTTCTTCCAAGGCAAAACTCCAGAGGCCAGGCTGCAGTGTTGTCCCTACTCCAAACTCTCCCCCGCACAGAGCCACAAAGTGGTGACATGGTTTGCCCCACTCTGGTGATTACCTAAGGCTCTGCTCCATACAACTTACAGGTGTACTTTTCTACAATAGGCCATGCTACTAGGACAGGGAGTCAAAGCAGCTCTACCTAATACACAGAAACAAACACAGGGGGGCTGCCAAATTGAGGAGGCAAAGAAATAAGGCCCAAATGAAAGAACAGTACAAAACCCCAGAAAAAACTAAATGAAACAGAGATAACCAAACTATGAGATGCAGAGTTTAAAGCATTGGTTATCAGAATGCTCAAAGAACTCACTGAGGATAGCAACAGCATAAAAAAGACCCAGGCAGAAATGAAAGTTACATTAAGTGAAATAAAGAAAACCTACAGGAAACCAACAGTGTGGGATGGAGCCCAGAGTCAAATCAATGATTTGAATCATAAGGAAGAAAAAAGCATTCAATCAGAACAGCAAGAAGAAAAAAGAATTAAAAAAAACAAGGACAGCCTAAGGAGCCTCTGGAACATCTCCAAACGAAACCAACACTTGAATCACAGAGAAGCCAGTAGGAGAATAGGAAGAACAAGAAATTGAAAATTTATTTGAAAAAATAATGAAAGAAAACTTCACCAATCTGGTGAAGGAGATAGACATACAAGACCAGGAAGCTCAGAGAGCCCCAAACAAGTTGGACCCAAGGAGGAAATACCAAGACACATCATAATTAAATTGCCAAAGATTAAAGATAAGGAGAGAATCTTAAAAGCAGCAGGAGAAAAGGAGACAGTTACCTACAAAGGAGTCCCCATAAGACTATCAGCTGATTTCTCTAAAGAAACCTTGCAAGCAAGAAGGGGCTGGGAAGAAATATTCAAAGTCATGAAAGGCAAGGACCTACATCCAAGATTACTCTATCCAGCAAAGCTATCCTTTAGAATGGAAGGGCAGACAAAGTGCTTCCCAGATGAGTTCAAGTTAAAGGAGTTCATCATCACCACGCCATTATTACATGAAATGTTACAGGGACTTATTTAAAAAAAAGAAGATCAAAACTATGAACACTAAAATGGCAACAAATATACAACTATCACCAACTGGATCTAAAAACAAACTAAGCAAACGAGCAGAACAGGAACAGAATCATAGGTATGGAAATTATTTGGAGGGTTATTAGCTGGGAGGGGGAATGGGGAGAATCAAGGAAAAGGTGTGGGATTAAGAAGTATAAATTGGTAGGTACAAAATAGACAGGAGGATGTTAAGAACAGTATAGGAAATGGAGCAGCCAGAGAACTATACGCATTACCCATGTCTACCCATGTTCATAGACATGA